AAAAACGCCTGAGCTTTTAAACCATGTCCTGCTCCTGCCAGTGCTTCCAGCTGCCACAGCAACTCCTGAGGAGGAGGAGGAGCAACAATGGAAGTGGAAGAGCTGTCATAACATTTATTTTGAGTGACCTGTTTGTTCCCAAGAAACACCAAAGCTCTCCGGTATGAAGCAGTTAACAATTTTTAAAGCCTGAAGATGCTGTGAATTACAGGGGGAAAGGGAACAGAGAGAGGGAGGCTCTGTTTTAAGGAACACAAAGCTGCAAACAGATCCCTCACAGTCCCGGTCAGCTGGAGAGGCTCCTGGCCTGTGTCTGGTCTTAAATGTTAATGCAGCATGACAAGAGCATGCACAGGGAGAGAGGAGACTTTATCTGGGCCTTGCATGCACCACTGAGCTCTACAGCCTCCTCTCTTCCCTGGAATTGTGGCTGCCTGTGCTGGGGGGAGCTCTGACAAGGTTCAGCATGGCCTTGGGTCCTTCTGCGGTGCTGTGAGTGTGTGGGAGAACCTGTGTGGGGTCTCTGTCCTGTATTTCAGGAGCTGCACTGAAGCTCATTCCCTTTCCTGAGAGATGCTGAGGTCTCTCTGTGCCCTGCCTTGTGCCTTGCTGATCCTGACCTGCTCCTGACTTCCTGGACCTGCCTTGATGCTTTGGCTTTGTGTGGCACCTGCTGGACTCTTGGCCACCCTCACTGGACCTGCTGTGCTCCCCTTGCCCTGGTGCTGTGGGACCAAGCCCATGCTAGGAGGCTTTTGGGTTGTCACCTGCATTTCCATTCCCCTGTAGGTCACTGCAGCACCTGAGTGCTCCAACCCTGTCCTGCCCTGTCCTGCACTCTCAGGATTAGGTCTCTGCCTTGGACACAGGATTCCCCCCTTATTCTCAGCCACAGTCACAGATGAACGAAGTGACTGCCAGCATCTTTCATAGAATCATAGAATGCATTTCACAGAATCCAGCCTGGGCTGGAAGGGATCATCCTGTTCCACCCCTGCCATGGCAGGGACAACTTCCACTATCCCAGGCTGCTCCAAGCCCTGTCCAGCCTGGCCTTGGACACTTCTAGGGATCCCATGGCAGCCACAGCTTCTCTGGAAACCTGTGCCTGGAAACCTGTGCCAGGGCCTCAGCACCCTCAGAGCCAAGAATTTCTTCCCAGTGTCCCATCTCACCCTGCTGTCTGGCAGTGGGAAGCCCCCTTGTCCTGTCACTCCAGGCTCTTGTCCCAGGTCCCCCTCCAGCTCTCTTGGAGTCCCTTTAGCTACTGGAAATTGCTCTAAGGTCTCCTTGGAGCCTTCTGTTCTCCAAGTCTCTCAGCTTCAGAGCAGAAGTGCTCCAGCCCTCAGAACATCTTTGTGGCCCTTTGAGAGGGAACAGCAGGGGACAGAATCCCTGACACTTCACTGCCCTCCTGGCTGCCCCGTTGGGTGTTGGGAACATCTACACACCATTGCACCCCAAACTGGTGTTCCCTGGACACCTTGAGGTGAATCTGACCTCTGAGGGCACCAAGCATTTCACACCTGCTTCTCCAAAGCGGGACCTTTGTCAGGTGTGGGGACAGAGAGTGATGGGGTAGGAGGTGGCTGTCACAGCCCTGAGTGCACCGACAGGTTCTGCAGCCTCTTCCCTGCCCCTCCCAGGGCTTCAGCTGCAGGTGCTCAGGGTCAGCTCTAAGGTTGGATCAGGCTGCTGTGGAAACCCGAGAATTCCTGCTTGGAGCTTTTGCCCGTGAACCTGCAGCCCTGGGTTTGAGAGCTCTGTTTGAGCTCAATGCCTTGCCCCTGCTCCTTGCCTGAGCTGGGGTGCAGATCTGGCTCTGCCTGCCCTGCCTTGCCAAGCAGTTCTTCCTGGCAGAGGGAAGTAGGAAGTAATATAATGAGATCAAAGATTATTCCCATTCTGTTAACAATTTAGTATTACAACGGTGGGATTCTTTGCCAGTATAAATGTGTAATTGATTATTAATTCCCTTTCCAGAGGCATCGTGCCCTCCTAGTCCCCGTTTCACATGGACTGCAAATGGACACAGAATGAAACCTCGGTGATGTGGCTGCATTTAGCAGGCAGAAAGCACATCTGGCTTATTGCTTATGCTGTTCAGGCTTTTAAAAGTCAAAGTAACTCGGGGCTCCCTGCTGATAAAAATATTCCGAGCTGCTGCTTGACTCCAGGGTGAACGTAACGTGAAACCTCCTCAAAGTTTAAAACACTCTCACCTCCTCCTGAACCTCTCCTTTGGTTGCACTGCCTGCCCTGGGGCTCGCAGGGAGGAGTAGCTGCATCTCCTCTTTTCTCCTGGCTCCGGTCTCTGATCACCAAAACCATCGTGGCAGAGCGAGACAGGGATGAGCAGCAGGGTGTCAGAAGATTTCAAGCCAGTTGTGTCAGTTTTAGCTCCTGTAAAACTGGGCAGAAAGTGAAAAGCTGCTGAGAGCTTTTTTTGTCCTTGGAGTGTGAGCAGGGGAGTGGGAGAGGAAAACCTGAGGTTCTGAGCTGGCTCAGTGTCCGTGGGATAGCGACAGCTGGAATTTATCTGGAAATGGAAATTTATTAATGGAAATTATCTGTATGTAAGCCGTGAATACGTGGCAAAGACTCGAGAACTCCGGGTAAATTCATCATTAAAAAAACCCCCCAAAAACCGAGACCCAAAGAACAAACATAGAAAAGAAGGTCAGTGTGGATTTGCATATTTCAATACTAATACAGGGGAAGAAGAGATGTTTCTTCATGCTGTGGGCAGATGAACCTTAGAACTCCTTGCCAGAGGTTGTGGATGGAGAAATCTTTCCTGGCTTAAAAAGGAAATTAAGACAGGACTTTAGAGAGACCTGCTGAGGATTACCAAGTAGAAAAAACACATAAGGTTCACAGAATTTTCTGGGATGAAAGTAGTTGGAAGCTCTAGTTCATGTGGGAAATATCTCTTATTCTTTCTTTGACATGTGCTTTTAGATACTTTTGAAAACTACTTACACATTCCATCTGAATCAGTATCCCTGTCCCTTTGCCCTTGTGGTAGTATTTATATATTACCAAGAAACCATTAACATGAATATGAAAAAGAAGAATTATTATTCAGTGATTCTTCCCATATTAAGTTTAAAACAAACCCCATATCCCGAGCATATTTAAGCAAGCCAAAATTACAGTTCTTAAAGTTATGGATGCATTCAGTTCAGGGAGAGCAATCAGACAAATAAACCTCCCATGTGCTCATCAAATTCTCACAAGACTGAGGATTTGGATTACAAATTTTGACATGTTCTTCTGCAATAATGTATAGCAAATAGAAAGATTTACCTGCAGCTACAGTATTTAATAAGTTGTTCTAGAGGTTAACAAATCTGCTTCCCAAATTCTTAGGAAATGAAAATTTAAGACTTTATTTCCTAAGTTACCCTGTCACGGATGTTTTGGCAAGAAATGAAATGAGCATTATAATGTGATTTGGAGACTGTCATTACTGTGTGAATGCAGGGCTCAGCCAGGGTTTTACACTGATGTGTTGGTGGCACAAAATGTTTAATGACATCTCTCGTGACATCCTGTCAGCCTTCTGACAGTGTGGGACAGAAATGTGGCTGCTGCAGAAGGTCCTGAGGTACCTGGTCACTGTCAGAGGAGTGTCATAATCCACTCTTGTGGGTAAGACATCAAATCTCCACTCAGAAAATGACTGATATCTCCTCCAGCACCTTTTCACTGAGGCTCTGGTTCCTGGACAGGTGTAAAATAGAGTGTGCTGATGTTCAATCTTACACTCTTCCCCCACCTTGGATTCACTGTTTGCATAAATAAGGTCACAGAATCCCAGAATGGTTTGGGTTGGAAGGGACACTAAAGCTGTTCCCATTCCATCCCCTGCCATGGGCAGGGACACCTCCCACTATCCCAGGATGCTCCAAGCCCTGTCCAAACATTCTGGACACTTCCAAGGATCCAGGGGCAGCCACAGCTCCTCTGGGCACCCTGTGCCAGGGCCTGCCCACCCTCACAGGGAAGAATTTCTTCCCAATGTCCCATCTAAACCTTCAGATACACAGCAGTGGTTTAACTCCACTACTCACACACACACGAGGTGCATCCACATACCATAAATAAGTATTTGTGAGAGGCATAGAGCCTGTCAGAGCTTGGTCTGTCAGACCAGGGTGTACCTTTCCTTTCAGGCAGAGCTGAGTGCTATCAGTTGAGTAATTCACAATTATTTACCTTGGAACCAGCACTGTGGCCTTTTAAACCCAGGATTTGTGTCCAGGCCTCCTGCTCACTCAGGAAGTAGTGGTGAGGACATTTGAGCTCTAACAAGCCATTATGTCTATTTTAACACAACCACCAAATGCCAACTTGTATTCATCCTGAGAGCTGTCAAGGGTTTTGCATGTCAGTGTGTTCTCTTTTAGTTTAATTTAAAATTTTCAGGAAAATTACAGTATTTGCCATGCTCTGTTTTTTTCCCAGTCACGGCTAGGATCATTAAATCCTAAGAAAATCCCAAAGGCAAGCAATCTAATAAAGCAGTTTTTTGTTCTGAGGCTGGCAGGATAATTCAAACAGGAGGTCAGTTAAAAAATCCCATTCTCCTGAGTGCCATGGGGAGCTGAGTAAATGAGTGCCCTGCCTCTTTCTAACCCCCATGCCGTGGCAAGAAGAAGTGAATTTTTGAATTTAATACAGCCTAAAAACCCATTCAGCAAAATAACTGCAAGGTATTTTCTCAGCAAGACCCTGCTCATGTTGGCTGGCACTTCCCCAGCTCCCTGGGGATTTAGGGAATAATGCCTGAGGTTGTGTGATTGCCTTGGCTGGGCTGCCTGACCCTGCATGTGCCATTTCTGACCCCACTCCACTGCACCCTGAGGAAGGAAACCCTCAAAATATTCAAACCATGCTGCCATTTCAGAATGTGCCCTGGGTTTGGTTGTTTTGTGGGTTTTTTGTTTGTTTGTTTGTAGTGCTTAACACAAAAAGATTCTCCCAACACTCCAGTGTTCAGTGGTGCAGGTTTATTTTTATGCCTTTTGCCCCAAATACTCAGTCCATGCTTTTCTCTACAGTTTTTTTCCTTAACATAAGGATTTTCTGCTTAAAAATGGAAGCAAAGATTGGCTTCAAATTCCCTGGCAAAGCTTCTCATATAGGATACAGATTGTCTCAGCTTATCTGGCTCAAGCCTGTCTGGATGTAAACTTGTTTTCTTTGGAAGTTCAGTGGTGCTCTGTGCCTCATTGTTCACATTGCTTACAGCTGGGGGCTGTGGCAAGGGAAAAATCAGCTTTTTGTTTCTCTCCTGTACCACTGGGTAGATCATTACTGATGTGTAGATGGAAATATTTTTTTCCTTATAAATGTTTGGACTCAGCAATCAAACTGGAAGTGTTCAAAGTCACGTTGGACAGGGCTTGGAGCAATCTGGGTTTGTGGAGTGTGTGCAAAGCAGCAACCCTTAGCAGGGATGGTCAGATTATGAAGCAAGGCAGCCTGCCTTGGGATGTCTTCATGGGGAGTGGAAGCTGTCAGAGGAACAGCAGAACATCAGTGGTTATTCACTGCACGTGGTGCTGAGCAGGGCTGCTATTGCTTAGAGACAGCAGCAACTCAGATAACGTCTCCACGTCGAGATTTTTGAGTTCAGAGCTCCCTTGTTCAGGAATGATTTATTGTTTACTCCTTTAGTTCTGCTGTTTTTCTGATGAATGTCCTGTGAGAGCCGTTTGTGTTGTGTTCCTGTCACAACACCTGCAATGCGAAACACAGAATGATATCAGAGGATGGTTTGGGTTCGGGAAGATTGTTAAAGATCATCCAGTGCCACCCCCTGCCATGGCAGGGACACCTTCCACAATCCCAGGCTGCTCCAAGCCCTGTCCAACCTGGCCTTGGACACTGCCAGGGATCCAGGGGCAGCCACAGCTTTTCTGGGCAATCTGCACAAGGGCCTCACCACCCTCACAGGGAAGAATTCCATCCAAATATATAACCTAAGTCATTCCTCTTTTAATTTCAGACCATTCCCTCCTGTCCTGTCACTAACTGGCCATGTAAAAAGTTATTTCACGCTTTTTTATACGCCCCTTTTAAGTTCTGAAAGGCCTCAGTGAGGTCTCCCCTGAGCTGCCTCTTCTCCAGGCTGAACAACTCCACGAACATGAACAACCACAAGGCACAATGTCAGGTTAGAGCCTCCTATCTTCTTCCTGTGCCCAGCACCCCCAGAAGGAAAGAAGATGGGAATCTGCTTTGTATCCCAGTTCATCTTCTGCAGTAGCTCCTAATTAAAAAGAAAAATCCATCTGTCACCTGGGATGTACAGTCATACCGAATTTGTCTTGAAGCACCAGGACAAGAACTGAGCTGCAGAGCTCGGTTTGATTTCAGCCACAGATGCCAGGAGAGCCTGGATGAGCCAGCTGTGGTGTCTGAGCTGTATCACTGGAAAAACTCCTTTTTCCAAGGCTCCTGCTGGTGTTCCAGCACAGCTCCCACTGCTCAGCTGGACAAGTGCTTCCACCCAAAGGCCCCCAGACCCCATCCCCAGCCTTATCCCCATCCCCTGCCTCATTTCTGCATCCCATCCCATCCTGGCACCTCATCCTCATGCCTATCTTCATCCCCACACCACCTTCACCCTCACATCCCCATCCCTGCTTAT